GATGGCCTCCAACCTAGAAGGTAATGGCCTCCAACCAACTACCGATATCTAGCGATGGCCTCCAACCTAGAAGCGATGGCCTCCAACCTACTAGCGATATCTATAGCCATGGCCTCCAACCTAGAAGCGATGGCCTCCAACCTACTAGCGATGCCCCCCAGCCTAGAAGGGAATGGCCTCCAACCAACCAGCGATATCTAGCCGCCAGCCATGGCCTCCAACCTAGAAGCAAAGGCCTCCAACGGCCTCCAACCTAGAAGCGATGGCCTCCAACCTAGAAGGGAATGGCCTCCAACCAACTAGGGATATCTAGTCATGGCCTCCAACCTACTCAAACCTAAGAGGGAATGGCCTCCAACCTACAAGCGATATCTAACGATGGCCTCCAACCTAGAAGCGATGGCCTCCAACCTAATAGCGATGGCCTCCAACCTGCTAGGGATGGCCTCCAACGTACCTGCTAGCGATGGCCTCCAACCTGCTTGCGATGGCCTCCAACCTGCTAGCGATGGACTCCAACCGAATAGCGATGGCCTCCAACCTAGAAGGGATAGCCTCCAACCTTGTAGCGATGGCCTCCAACCTACTAGCGATGGCCTCCAACCTGGAAGCGATGGCCTCCAAGCTAGAAGCGATGGCCTCCACCCTAATAGCGATAGCGTCCAACCTACTAGCGATTGCCTCCAACCTGTTAGCGATGGCCTCCAACCTAGAAGGGATGGCCTCCAACCTACTAGGGATGGCCTCCAACCTGGCCTCCAACCTACTAGCGATGGCCTCCAAGCTGCTAGCGATGGCCTCCAACCTAGAAGGGATGGCCTCCAACTACTAGCGATGGCCTCCAACCTGCTAGCGATGGCCTCCAACCTAGAAGGGTTGGCCTCCTGGCCTCCAACCTGGTAGCGATGGCGTCCAACCTGCTAGCGGTGGCCTCCAACCTAGAAGGGATGACCTCCAACCTACTAGCGATGGCCTCCAACCTAATAGCGATGGCCGCATGTGCAGGCTGTGGAGTGCGAGCCTCTGAACATGCATCTTGGCTGGACGAGCGCAGCACCTGCTGGAATTAGACACCGCCGCCCGTGAGCGTGTGAGGTCGATTATTTCCGTGCACAATGACTATTACGAACCTCGTTCAATTATTAGTGCGGTTTCTTTCTTTCGAGAGGAACGAAAAAAGGTCGCTAGGAACAGAAGGTCTGTTTGAAAGACGTCGAAACAAAAGGAAGTCCAATTCCTATACCTCCGAGCCTGGCGAGCCTTGCGAGGTGTCACGCTTGACTCTGGCCAGCAGTCAGGCACAGGTAACCAAGGCCTTGGATGACTTGGAGCAGGACAAAGACCATTTGCGCATCTTGCATGGCTTTCCAAACCAGCTTTCAAATGCTGTTGGCTGATATTTAGCACATATGAGGAAGGCATAGGAAGGCCATGCGAGAGTATGTCGGTGACTTTCATACGATTTCTTTCTGAGAGTGGCACACTTTTCAATTAACATGTATTAGCCGCTTAGACACAATTCACTAAACTCACTCAAGTTTTTAATGCAATTGCCATGCTCCACTCCCCTAAAATATGTGCACTGTAGTTGCTTTGGAACTGTAGTGCGACAGTTGCAAGCCATCCTTGGCCACTTCTACAACCTCCAGTTGTGAATAGTTTATAAGTATTTGAACCCTAGTGTCTTTAGATGTCTTTAGTATACTTTCCCAGCATGTAGTGTAGTGCGCCCATAATGAAGTTTTTTTATTGACTCTACCCAATGCTGAAAGCATACTATAGCATACTCAATTCAGTCTGTGCTATGGCAGTGCTTCCACACAGTGTGTGAACTCCAGGATTTGCAATCCAAAGTGTTCAGCAAGACCTTCCAGCCAAACAGCAGAGGATGTGATGGTGTGGTAGTTTAGTGGTAGTTTAGTAGGCAATGTATGCACTGCGAGCATTTGCATTGTTCAATGGCTTTCCAACACGATCGGGTGTCCACTATCATCATAGTTGTTGCAAAACAATGTCCCCACTAAAGGTGCGACACTGGTGACTCCACTGTGTGTTGCAGTGGTATCAGTATTGAGCAAGCAAGTGCATGACAATGGTATCAGTGTTTGTTCTCAACAGCTAGTTTTCATTTAGTGTTGGTGTCGCATGGCAGTGTTTGAGTTGCATCCTTAGTAGTGGAGTGCGTGCTTCGCCAAGGGTTGCACTGCAGCGCGTCAACTGTGGTTTGCACTGGTATGCTAGTCCATACATTAGTCTATGCATCATGCCGGCGCAATGAAGCTCGTTCTTCGCATTGAGATGTGAGATGTGCAATACATTGTTCCCCAGATAGCGATAGCTATCGGGTTCTTACTTCAATCGCTTTCGAGACAGGGTATTGGTGCTGGTGCCAGTGCTGGGTGCTGGTGGCGTGCTTTGAGCTGGCAGTGGATAGAAGTGTGCTTCCTGCTGTTGCGCTCATCTCCCCGCCAGTGCCAGGTTATTTGTAAGCCTGAGCCTCCAAGTGATACAGAAAAAAGTGTATCAATTATAAAAGTGCTCGAATCCAGAAAATCAGCTCGAGTTTAAGAAAAGTGCTCGAGCATAGGGGTCAGATATATAGCTGGAGGCTGGTTTTGAATCTTGTAGATTCCTCATCTTCCACCCTGCCCGCTGCGGACACACACACACACACACTACACCATGGAAGAGTCCGAGCTGGCAGTTTTCCTCCATGCCTGGTGCTGGCTGCGTCCTTGCTCCTAGTAGCGATGCCCTTTGTTCCTAGTAGCATTCTTGCTACTAGTAGTGATGCCAGGAGCTACTAGTATCTTCTTGTTCCTAGTAGTAAGGCCAGGAGCTACTAGTAGCGTCCTTGCTGCTAGTTCCATCCAGCCGCACGTCAACAGCTACAGAACTTGACTCTTTTCGGTCGTTGGATTCTGCCTAGCTATGTTGGGTTTATGCTGGTGTAGTTTGTCAGTAAATCTTGTGTTTGCTTGTTTTGCTTGTGCGCTCCACTCTAACCTCTATGATGTGCTGCTCCCAAATACGCACTAAGTATACTCTACCCTTTAAGAGTTCTTCTTTCAGCTTGCGAGGCACTGGATAGTAACCCTGCAAACCCTACAGTATTTTAAAAACGTATATACGTACAGAAGGCGAGTGTTTGCATAGCCTTTGCACTACGGTTTTGATGATTCTCCTAATCTCTTTACATTGAACATTTTCACCTCTCCCCTCACTGGTTCTCCTCTGAGTCCTTCGCATGGAGTCCTCGACACCATCTCAGGGAAGATTCGCAGAAAGGCAGAAAGGAACACGGTAACCTCCTGATCTACTGGGAGAAATGTAAGGCAACGCTGCAATGAAAAGATTTCCAACTAGATCCAACATACTGGCGATGGCCTCCAACCTAAAAAATTACACCAGCATAGACCCAGATAGCTAGGCAGAATCCCACGACCTGTTGACGTGCGACTGGCTGGAACAAGAATGTACGCAGCCTGCACAGCCAGCTTACGACGCATCCACAGAGCGTGCAATCAGCTGACACCAGCACCTGTGCGCTTTGCCAGCTGACAACACCGGCAGCAGCACCAGTACCCGACCAGCGCCGCCGCCCGTCTCAAACGCGCGCTCTCAGCCAGCTCACAGAATGAGCGGCCAGGACCACAACACCAGCACCAGCACTGACACCCTTTCAAAAGCGCGCGCAGCCAGCTCATTTTTTGCAGTAAGAACCCCATAGCTATCCCTATTTGGGGAATAACAGCATATGATCTTGCGCGTATAAGCTTACGCGCGCAAAAGTATGCGCGCAAGCAGCAAAGCCAGCAAGTGTCATGGCCCAAGGCCAAGCAGTATCCAGCGCCACTATTGATTTTGTAGCATGCTTGAAGCAACGATCTGTAGAACGATGGGGCCGTATGATCTTGCGCGTATAAGTTTATGCGCGCAAAAGTATGCGCGCACACGGCAAAGCCCGTAGGCTTCACTCGCCCAAGGCCAAGCAGTATCCAGCACGACTATTGTGTGTGTAGCTTGCTGAAGCATGCTGAACCAACGGTCGGTTGAGAGCCTGACGTTGCGCATAGAACATTATATATACGTACAAAAGTATGCGCGCAAGCAGTACGGCCCTTGCACCGTGTCTCCACCACGCGCACAGCCAGCTCACAGCACCCAGCGCCAGCACCACAGCCCGCGCCAGCGCCCGGCACCGGCACCCTGTCTCCACCACGCGCACAGCCAGCACCCACCCAGCACCGCGCCCTGTCTCCACCACGCGCACAGCCAGCTCACAGCACCCAGCGCCACAGCCAGCACCAGCACCCGGCACCGGCGCCCCGTGTCAAAAGCGCGCGCAGCCAGCTCATTGTCATTTGAAGTAAGAACCCCATAGCTGTTGCTGGGAACAAAAAAGATCCGAAAATAGACCTCCTCACATGTGCAAGCTACACAACTTGTAAGGACCCAAAGGTCATGCATAAGAACAGAAGAACCTTGAGAAAACACTGGATCTGGATACACCATGATGTTCTGATTGCTGATTCCCTGAGCTTCCCTGGAAGTAGTGGCACCCTGACACCGGCACCGGCGCCCTGGCTCTGCAACGCGCCAAGTGCGCGCAGCCAGCGCCCAGCACCGGCACCGGCACCGCCGGCACCTGTCTCCACCACGCGCCCCAGCACCGCCACCCTGTCTCCACCACGTGCACAGCCAGCTCACAGCACCAGCACCGGCACCCGGCAGCCAGCACCGGCGCCCTGTCTCCACCACGTGCACAGCCAGCTCACAGCGCCAGCACCAGCACCAGCGCCAACACCGGCAACCTGTCTCGAAAGCGCGCGCAGGCAGCTCATTGTTATTTGAAGCTATCTGGCGAATTAGCGATGGCCCCCAACCTACTTGCAATGTCCCAACCTACTTGCGATGGGGCCTGCCCAGTAGTTTTTCTGGTCTTTTTGGCAGTTTGATGGATCCTTGGAACACGACCTTGCACCGTATGACCTTGGAAGGAGTGCGTGCTGCGGCCTATGGGTCTGGCATGGCCAGGCGGAAAATGAAGCACTTTGCAAGACTACAAAGATCTGAATTTGACAAACTTGGAAGCTTTCAACTTGTCCAAAAAGATACGTAAATTGCATAAAAACTACTTTGATTGACAAACTCCGAGCACCATCCTTGAACTGACTGGGCCTTTCATCTATTCTCCATTTTTCTCTCAGAAATCGCAACTGACATCTGCAAGAACCTCCACAGTCTTTTGTCAACCTACTAGGAATTGCCTCCAACCTACTAGCGATGGCCTCCGACCTAATAGCGAGGGCCTCCCTGGTAGCGATGGCCTCTAACTTCAAACTCATTTTTTTACACAATTTTTTGCTTTCAGGTCTTGCGCCCGAACATGTTGCAGGAGTGCCTCAGGGACTGCCTGTGCCGTTCGGGGACCTGTCTACCTGGGTCGTCTTCGAAATGGAGCGCCGCGGGCGCTGCCTTGGAAAATTGGTGCTGTTTACAAGGTTGTCTACATTTGGCGTATTCGCAGTCACTTTCTGCTGCAGTTCCTTGCGCCCATAGCCCTGAATGAGCACAAAGTGCGAAACTTCAGCATCGTTGGTTGAGGTGCATGTAACATAGAAATAAAGCTGCGAGAGAAGGCTTTGGTTTGAGCACCCTACGTGTTAAGTTGCCCAGGTCTTTCGGAAAGAAGCGGAAGGCGTCCGAGCGCGGCCGGCTGTTCGCCATTGGAGAGGATGCAGCGCTGGCAGCCTTGCGTTCGGCTGGTCAAGCACTTGCTGCAGAGGTGCCATGAATTGGAGAACTGGTGCAACTCAGACCTCTCAGACCTCATCAGAAGACTGAGACAACAGACGGGATGAGATCATCTTGGAACTGGCCTAGCTGAATGTTAAGATTTCCTAAAAAGCTAGAAACCAAATCATTAGCGTGAGCTATCCTGCGTCCAGTAGTTAGTAGCTGCTTGTTAGCTATTAGCTACTTCTCCCTGGCTTAATTAAGATTAAGTAGGGCGGGGTGAGTGGGCAAAAAAACCGATGTCAGGTGGACGATGTTGTGGGTCTACTGCAGTACTGGACCACAGATGCCGGGAGGTGCGCGCTGTTGGCAGATTCAGATGAGTGCTGCTACTTTTGATGTAACTTAAGAACAAAGCAAGAGTACAATAAACCTTCCGAATCAATATTATTTTTTGTGATTTCCGTGATCCCATGGTGTGCTATGAGTTCCCATTTGTTTCTGACTTGCAGGTTCTTCCCAGTTGCCGAAAAGGTGGTGAAATCTCTACCATCAAAGGTCACTTTGGAGGCCTTGGAAACGGCCTGTTCTCCATTTGAGCCCTTGGGAAGGCTCCTTGGGGAGAGAGGCTCCGTTTTCAATGTTTTGTGGACTCTTCAGGTTGTGGTGGCAACTGAAGATGAGAACGAAGCCAAGGCACATCTCTTTTGAGCACATCCCTTCCTTTGCCTCGAAATCTTTCACATCCCAAAAGCGTATGTATTTTGTGGACGAAGCACAGCAATTAAGCTGTTCTTTTTTGTGACACTTCCAAAGCCAGCATTTGCATCACTAGCCCCCCTACCCAATAGTTGAGCTGGGTAGGAGTTTGAAAGCCATAGGTTGGCAAACTTTAGGTTAGCTCAAGCCACGATTTGATTGGTTTATAGGGTCTGCATCATTGGCACCCCTATCCAATAGTTGAGCTGGGCAACGCTTCCAAAAATGTTGGTTGGCAAACTCTACGTTAGCTCAAGCCATGATTGAACTTGTAGGCTGTCAACCTACAGTTATATAGGTCTGCTAGGGCACCCCCTACCCAATAGTTGAGCTGGGTAATAGTTCCAAAGCCGTAGGTTGGCGAACTCTAGATAGCTCAAGCCATGATTGAGCCTGTAGGTTATATAAGTTATATATATATATATAGGTCTGCATCACCGGCACCCCGTACCCAATAGTTGAGCCGGTGTGAATGCGGGCAACTGTTCACTGCATATCTGACCACGGGGCCGACCGTTGCGCCTGATCGGTGAAAACCGATGCTGCCCGAGCGTCCCTTCACTCACTGTTAGCTATGCACAGTGGTAGCGGAGCCATGGCGATTGCTGGTGCTTCCGCGCCCGCCACTACCGAGGGCGCGGCGGCCTGACAGCCTGGAGGACGAAATCGTGATGGTCCGCCCAGCTTTGATGGAAGTGGCCCCAGTGCCTTCAAGAGGTATGAGAGAGACCTCAAGCTGTGGCAGTTCGACACGAAGACTCCAAAGGCAAAGCATGGAGTCTGAATGATCAGGATATACTCACCGGAGCAGCCAGAGCAGCCGTAGACGAGGTGCCGCTGGATGAGTTGATGGGAAGCAAGGCAGTGCTGAGCAAGCTCAAAGAACAACTGGAGAGCGCATTGCCCAGAGCCTTCGAGAAGTCGTTGCGTGCCGAGGCAGGACCAACGGGTCCCAAGTGGCGGCACGAAAGGTCGAAAATTTCAGTTTGTGCGCGTGACTGTTGTAGGCATGATGCCGTGAGTGGGGTGAGGCTCCAGTCCCCACAAGCTTCCTGCGGCCTGGAGCCATGGAGATGATGAAGCGGCTGGCGCGACACTGGCGAATCCTGGCCAAAAAGACGCTCTGGGTCATCTACGACAAAACGCCAAGGCATCGCTGGCTGAGTTGCTGGATCTGCGAGAAGTGCACTCACCGAGTGGAGCAGGAGCTGCGGCGCAGAGAGAAGTGTGGCGCCAAGAATCATGCTCGCTGGAACCCTAGAAAGTGGCATCAACCATCCCGAATGCCAAGGGCATCGCGTGTGAGAAGAGGGTGCCAATCACCCCCCCAAGCATCCAATGCAGGGCTACCAGACACTGGAAAGAATGACGGCGCCCACTACGCCTCGCCTATGACTCCAGCATTTGCGACGAGTCCACCGCCGCAGCCACGTGACGATTCAGTGTCTCTGCAACATGCCAACATGCTTGCAGAGAAGAAAGTCAGGACCTACCAAGAGGGCGGGCGCCACTTCTACCATGTGCCATGATGGGCAACGGGACCCAGCCCCTTCAAGGAGGACCTGGCCTTGAAGGACAACACCCTGGTGACGCGCAGGAGACCGTGAAGGGATGCGTGACACAAGCGGTGGAGAAGAGCCAGGAGATGTTGAAGGAGGAGGAGGAGAGCGCAACGCAGAAGAAATACTCGGAAGACGTTGGTGCTCTAAACGTGAAGCGTTCCATTGCAACGCTAGCTCAGTTTCGGCAGCTAGCTGGACCACGCAGGGAACTCCACGGTGATTGGGGACGGCAACGCGGACGATTCCTTTGTCCAACCTGAGATCTCCAAATCTCTTGGCAAAGGACGCCGCAGAAGAGTGAACAGAGGAATCGACGCCGTTGCAGAGGCCAAGAGACAAGGAGCCGCCTTGACGTCAAGAATGAACCATATCCACGGCAGAAAGCAATCGTTATCTTCTTGCAAGGCGTGGAGCGGCTCAACCGATCAGGGTTGATCGGGCTTTCATCAGGCACACCGCGGAGGAGAGTGTGACAGCCCACCAAAGGAGTTGTCGGGAGCAGGAGTCAGTCAAGGAGAAGGGTGCGAGGAAGAGGTTGGAGGAGAAGGATCAAGACCGGGCGGGAACGTACGGTTGAGGGTGAGTTGATCATCAGCTTGTCCTGGGTGAAGGATCTCCTGGCTGGTCGGATTCTGCTGAGGCCCGCCTTCCTGGGCTCTTTCTCCACTTCTTCAGACTCCTGTTCGGACAGTCAGCTCATCACTTCCTTTCTGGACCATCCAGGCCTTCACGCGTTTGGTCACGTCGGTCATGTCCGCCTCCTGGTTCAGTGAGAACTCAGTGTAGCCTTGATAGTGGGCATTTTCTTTTCAACTTCACTGTACTTGATCGCCCACCTCTTCCGGTCAATCTGTATGGCTTCCATCTCACGCTCTCCAACCTCCGGCATATCGGATCACGATGCGGATTCAGCGCTCAATGAGCCGTTCGTTCTGAATGACGGAGCTGATCTGGACTCACGCGCATGGCGCTGACCGCAGAGGTCGTGAACATAGGCCAACAGGAGCTTCAAGACACACGTGGCCAACTTGAGGATTTCCTTCACGCACTGGTCTGGGCTGAGGGCCAACTTTCGCAAGTGATGATGAGATCCAGTCAGGTCGTTCAATCCACCTGATCCACCTGTCTCTCTTCATTCGCGGCCATGAAGCCAACTGCGCCTGGATCCGCGTCCCATCTCATGACGCAGTAATCTTGGAATCTCTTCATGTTCGCGCAGTAGTTCTCTTTCTCCTCGAGCAATGTGTCCCGCGCGCTTGAACCAAGGCTCTGGACACCCCCAACAGTCACCTGGAAGAAGATCTACAGATCTACAGCCTCCTCAGCGCCAATCGCTGGAACAACCTGCTGACTTTTGACAAGTGCAAGGGCTACACCTTTGAGTACGACGTGCGCGGCAATGACCTGAGCTATGCGAAGTTTGCCCTTGATGCCCCAGCGTACAAGGGTTGAACAAGATCATCAACGAGGCACGCAGCCGCGCAGATGAAAAGGAAATCTCTGCTACTGGAGATCAACCAAGGATCGTGAACTCAACACTGGACGCCGAGACCCAGAGCCTGCAGAAAGGCTTCAGGAGCCGGCGTGAGCAACCACCATCTACAACAAGACTGGCGGCCCCGGTATGGGAGGATGCTACTAACATCGACGACGCCAAGACAATGCCTGATGGGCACCAAATTTCTCTCTTTGACCACTTGGTCAAGCCCAGGGTTGGGGGCACAAAGGATCGCAGAACAGCGGCCGAGATGCAAGTGGTGCGGGAAAGCACGCAAGTGGGATTTTAGATTTTCAGGGGTCTGATCTGCAGTCAAGAGCAATTTGGTTGTGTCTGTGAATGCGGGCAATTGTTGACTGCAGCTCAGTGTCATGTATTTTCATGAGCTCAACCGTTGTGCCCGATCGGTGGAGACGGATGCTGCCCGAGCGTCCCTTCACTCACTGTTAGCTACCCACAGCTGGGTAATAGTTCCGAAACCGTAGGTTGGCAAACTGCAAACTCTAGGTTAGTTCAATCCATGACTGAACCTGTAGGTTGGCAACCTGATTACAGTTTTACAGGTCTGCATCACAAAGGACACGTCTGCAATGTCGTTTCCAACAAGCTGGGTCAATAGCACGGCCCATGGCTGTGCGGTTGTGCCAGGTCAAACTTTTGCAGCAGGAACTCTCTTCTAAGGCAGGGCAGTCGGCTCCAACTTCAAAGTTTTTTCTCGTGGTTTTTGTCCCTGGAAGGTTGTGCTTGAACGGCTTTCGCTAGAGGATGCGGCTGTGGTGGGCAAGGCCGGACGGAACTGCGGCTGGATCAAGCGAATTTTTGAGGGTTCACCAAAAATATGGGCAGGGCGTGTTCAGACCACCGTGTGGCACTTGTGGTACAAGTACCAGTACCAACCGTGTGGCACTTGTGGTACAAGTACCAAGAAGTGGAAGAGAAATGGCAGCGACATGGAAAAGAAATGAATGAAACATGTTGAAGAATTGGTGTCACTAATTAGTCACTCGTCGTTTCTAGTGTTAGTCTAGATGTGTCTAGTCAGGCCTTTTTAATTTTCAGCGTCATTTGTCTATCTACTGAGTCAGGTCTTGGAACCGTTGTGTTCCAGCTGGCCTTTGCAACTGCAACTACCCAAAGGCGCATCCCTGGCTTTGCGTGCACGTCCAGCAGTACTCTTACAGCGGCGTCGGGCGCCACAAGGAGTGGAACAAAAGTCTTGTCCGGAAAAAGAACCGCGGTTAAAGAACCTGAAGAGACATTTGGACTCGGGTCTTGGAGGAACACCCTGCATCCAGATTCTGTCAGAGGTCGGGCTGAAAAGGTTTTTCGTACAGCTTTGACATCTTGTGATAAACTGTTTGTACAAGATAGTCGGATGGAGGTGCCTCCGGGTCGATTGAGTGGCGAGCTCCTTTTTGGAGCACCGTTGTTGCTGGAAGCAGAGCACCAGGAGAGCTGAGGTTTTATCATTTACAGTGGTTTCACAGTAGATGGCACAGTCTCCAAAAAATTGGTTCTATGGACCCCATATAAAGGACATCTTTGGGTTTGTGCCATCTACTCTGAAGCCACCGCTTTTCAATGCTTTTCTCTGAACATTTTGACCTTGCAAAGCTTCTGGTTGTTTACATTTGCTTAGGTTAATCTTGGCTCTTGCACGCAGGATGCTGATCAGATGAAGGCATTCCAACCTTGTTCAGATTTACATGAGCACAACATAGCACAACTAACATTTATAGATGGCCTTTTACTGGTGGTTGATGGAATATATAATGCTTTGTATTAGAGGGGATACTCCCAAGTAGTGCACAGCCAGTAGGTATATGTATATGACCCCTCTATTGTTCCCATAAGTATCAAAAGGACATCATTGATGAACATAATATTACCATGAGGAGAGCAAACATACTGAACCCAATATGTCTGGAGATAGGTGAGTGCGGCAACTGTTGCTCACTGTTTCGGCTCAAGACTGACCTGGCGACAGTGTAACATACCTTGGAGTGCCCGAGATGGGCACCTGTGATATTGCGCTCGAACGTGACTTGGAGACGTCAGAAGTGGTGAGGGTGACCTTCTCAGTGAGAACTCCAGAATGCCTGAGGAGTCCACGCGCTGCTCAGGGTGGATGCTGGCAATGGCTCGCTGTACAACCACTTAGCAGCTCAGCAAACAGCAAGCGAGGTCAGCATGTGACATTTGGTGGCTCATTTGGATCCAGGATCCTGGGACAAACCTGCAGTCATTTGGATCCTCGAGACTCGAGATGTTCTTTGGCATTTTGTTTTTCAGTTTCAACTTGTGCTCAGCTGCTACCAGCTTCTACGATCACAAGGCTTCGATGGATCTGAGGTCCAGTTAGCTCGCACCTTGGCGGAAGAAAAGCCCAAGGATGCCTTGGAGCAGGTGGAAGCGCTGTCTCGACGTCTCAAGGCCCAAATCGGTGGATGTTCCGATGTTTCCGATCATGCATTTTCTACCATCGTTTTGATCAGAGGCCATCCAGTAGATTAATTTTCTATCATTGTTTTTGATCAGCTATTGGCGGGTGCCTTTTGGAAGGTGTTTGAGCAATCTGATCGCGTCAGGAGTCAGCTTTCCGCGGTGCTCCTGCTCCAGAGGTGCTAGACAGCGGAGTTTCTCATGTTCTTGTTGTTTCGTGATTTCTCCATCTCCAGGAGCCTGAGCTGAGTGTGGCCGAAAAGGCTGCGGAGGATGAAAGCAAAAAGTGTGCCCAGAGCTTCATGCAGCTGCTGAGGCGGGAGCTCAGGAGCTAACGATTCTTTTCACTCTTTTGTCTTGCCCGTATTCCTTAGTCTCTGTGTGCGCACCTTGGAATCATAGGTCTTCAGAAGTGTCTTGAATTTTCCAGCAGGGGGTGGCAGCAGGAACGAAAGTCTGCCACCAACGAAGACACTCTTGATTTTCTGGTGATACTGGGGCCTATGATGCCAGTGTGCCCTCATTTTAACTTTCACTTCCCACTTCACCCCATTGATAGCTAGAATAACAATTGGCCTTGGCATCCATTACTCACCTTGGCACATGTGCATGTGAGACACCGTTGCATTTACCTGGACTCTAAGGTCTTCTTTTAACGAAAATTGGTCGGGCTAGGGCGTTGGCCATACATACTTTCAGTCTCGACTGCGTGTGCCAAAGAGATGTTGATGGTGATGAAGATGATGATGACACTGTGAGGTGCGAGAGTCTAGGGGGCAGTTCGTTGCTGTCTCGCGAATAGCTGCAGACTGCGCCCCTTTTGAACCAAACCTGAGGGCGGCCCTGTGAACCTGTGCCATTTGCCGGCGCGCTTCTACGAGTTTCACAGCGCCTGTTTTTTTGAAACCTTTTTTCGTAAGGGTATGGAGCCGAAAGGTGCTGCTCCTCATCCTTTTGCCGATTTTTTGCCCTACTCTCATCCTCATGTCACAGCAAGTGCCAGCTTAAGCTGGGCACGCACGGCCCCACGCACTTTAGGCAGTTGCAGCTCAGTCTGTGCACGTGCGGGCCCACGCACTACAGGGTTTCTAGTTTAGAGAGAATTTTTGAATACATGCCAGAAAATATTCGTACGTTAGATAGAATGCCGGGACATCCCAGGCAGATTGCAGGAGATGTGCCAGAGATATATTCGGAAGATATGCCACCACATCCAATGCCGGAAAGGAACTAGACGCAAAAAAACATGCCGGAAACAATGCGAGATAGAATGCCGGAAAGGACCTCAGAAGATATGCCAGGTAGAGAGCCAGAACATATGCGTTAAAATTGTGGTTTCCGTGCCATGTAGAATGCCAAGTCCAGAAAGAACGAATGTCCGAATGTCAAAATACATGACAGAACACATGAGCCGAAGTCGGGCCTTGTGCCGCAACACATGTCAGAGCACGAACTAGTGCAGTGCGAAAACATATGTCAGAAGTACATGCCAGAGGGTGCTGGGCTGGGACGTGTTTGCTTTGTCTCCCTTGGTCTCTCACCGGCAAGCTGTCGCAGCACGGTTTCCTTTTGTCTCCCCATCTGTCCTTCCTATCTCTACTGGTGTGCACTTTGACATGCACGAAAAGGCAGGTGCATATGACATATGCTTTCCCACTTGCATTTGTCGAACTGCCCAGATGCGCTTGCGAAAGTGGTCCAACGGCGTGCTTTTGAAAAGACCAAGTTTAGCTTTTGGAATTGTAAGGTCATGTTTCTGCTTGTGTATGCCACGGCTGTTGAATTCAAACCGCCTGAACAAATGTTGTTTGGGGTTGATGCTGGTGTAATTTCATTCCTTTTTTTTTGGCCCTTGAGACCTTTTTGATTTCCCTACTGTATTTACTTTGAATGATGTTGATGTTGATGGTTCTCTTTCCATTCGACTTGCTCAAGGCCACCAAGTGACCCTACTGCGGCACCAAAAGTCCTGGGTGTGGTGCAGAACTATCTTGAGGAGAGGAAACATTGGCCCCCATGGCCTCTGATGTCCTAAGTCCTTTGATGAGGGAAATACATACAACCCAACTCTTGACCGCGATGACCGCGTCTTCGTTTTCACGGTCAATGTATATCAATGTATCATATGAACCAACCTTGGGCACATGAGTGCAAATGGCAAGGATGCTGCCATCTTTGAATGGGCTGGCGTTGGCTTTGGCAAGCAGGAGTCAGTATTCTCAAAGCACTTGCTTTGCTGAATGCTTTTTGGGGCACTCGTAAGCCAAGAGTCTGTGTGTGTGAGCGCCTTTTGCCTCGACAAACGGACTCCTCCGATACCACTTTCAGGTCCTATCACCTGTCCATGTCACTCCGGAAGCTCGCGGCAGACTCTGGCCTGGAGTCTTTGAGGTTGTGGGGAAAGGCTCTGGAATGTATGTTTTTTTTTTTCAATCGATCCTCAAAATACTCACTACTACTAGTACTGTGCTTGAACTGGAATTTGTGAAGGTGCTGGGCACAGGAGGTGACTACTATGTGGCCGAGGGCACCTTAAACGCAGCAGAGCAAGCTGTGGCTTTGCCTGGCAGTCCGGATGACGATGTGGAACCCAGAGGGCAAGGAGACCTGCGGCCTGACTGAGTGGACGTCTTGCAGCTCTTCGTAGATGAGTTGTGTAGTTGCTTTAAGTGCATTTCAGTGTTGTGCTTCTACGCTCTCGCTTCGTTTGAAGGAGCAAATCGTTGCATCTACTGGGTGACGAAAGGTGGCTTTGATCCATGGGTGAGGCTACCTCATGCTCGCGCCAGCCACGTGAGAGCTGCAGGGTTGCCTAGAGGTTGTAGGGTTTGCTCTGAGCTGTTTTTAGATTTTCTAGGATCAGAAGAACTGCAATTGCTTGGTTTCTCTCACTGAGGCTCGCAACATCAAGCACATGATGAGTGGCAACCTTTCCTCGGAGGTCATTTCTACCCCATGGTTTCCAGGCAATGTTGAGCATTTCGGTTTTTGAGCATTTCGGATGGCTTCAGACGACAACCGCTGGAAGTTGTTTAGAGGTGGAGAGGAACAGCTGCTTCGCGCGCAAATTGCTCGAATTACTTCGACCTGCACTCTGGCGCCCAAGGGTTGGTTTGAGGCCCGTTGTTCACAAGCCTTGTGCATTTTAGTAGCAGCGCGCTCGCATGCTGCTTACCGCTACCCTATTTAGACTGAACCTATGGATATATGTCTATCAGATTGTTCTACAATTCTACATATGTTTTACTCTGCAGAGGTGGATGAGGAGGCGCCGGTAAAGAACACACTTCGAATGGTGGAGGGCGCCGCTGAGGCCTTTCCCTCTCCAGAGGAGCCAAAACAAGAGAGGAATGAAAGGTGTTCGGGCATTCTTAACAAGACCGACCCCCTTTAAGGGTCATTTTTGGTGCATCAAAGCGAAAAGAACACTTCTTTTCCTCTATTCATCGGCTTTTCGCATTCTTAGGTTGGAGGCCAGAGCTTTTAGGTTGGAGGTCATCGCTACTATGTTGGATGCCATCCCTATCAGGTTGGAGGTCATGGCTCCTAGGTTGGAGGCCATCACTTCTAGGTTGGGGGCCATCGCTAGTAGGTTGGAGGCCATTGCTATTAGGTTGGAGGTTGGAGGGCATGGCTATTAGGTTGGAGGTCAGCGCTACTAGGTTGGAGGCCATCGCTATTATAGTACGCGGTTTGATGATAGAAGAAATTGCTTGTGCCAATCTTCTATTTGAAGGGCTTGGAAATTTGCCGCCGGGAGGGTTTCAAATAGAAGAGGGCCAGGTGGAACAAACAATTCCGGGCACAACTTTGGGCACAACGTTGGTTGACGAAACCCCGAGCCACTTCAAATAGAAGACGCAAAAACTGCAAAGAAGAGGAAGAGAAGGGAAGGGAAAGGAGAAAGGGTGGGGAAGGGGGAAGGGGGAAGGCAGGACGGGGAAGGAGGTACAGGAAAGGAAGGTAAAGGTAAAGAGAAGGTAGAAGGAAGGAAAGGTGGGAAGGGGAAGGGGAAGGGGAAGGAGGAACATGACAGCGGGTGTTTTTTGAGAGAGCGAGGAAAAGAGAGCAGGCGGGTTCATGTGCATTTTGTGCCAAAAATACTATTTCTTCTATTTGAAGACCTGTTGGTCCGCACGTTTATCAACCTGTTATTTTGACGCCTTTCTTCTATTTGTCCCGGAACCCTGCCACGGGAGGAATATGCAGACTTCTATTTGAAAATATGTTTTAATATCTTCTATCCTAAATTGACGTACTATAGGTTGGAGGTCATTGCTTTTAGGTTGGAGGCCATCGCTTCTAGGTTGGAGGTTGGAGGCCATTGCTAGTAGGTTGGAGGTCATTGCTTTTTAGGTAGGAGGTGATCGCTTTTGGTTGGAGGTCATTGTTGTAGGTTGGAGGCCATCACTTTTAGGTTGGGGCCATCGCTGCGCTACAGGGATGGAGGCCATCGCTAGTAGGTTGGAGGCCATGGCTTGTAGGTTGGAGGCCATTGCTAGTAGCTTGGAGGCCATTCGCTTTAGGTTGGAGGCCATCGCTTTCAGGTTGGAGTCCATCGCTTTTAGGTTGGAGGCCATCGCTATTAGGTTGGAGGCCAATGTAGGTTGGAGGCCATTGCTATGAGGCTGGAGGCCATCGCTTTTAGGTTGAGGCCTTTGCCTTTAGGTTGGAGGCCATCGCTTTCAGGCTGGAGGCCTTTGGTTTTAGGTTGGAGGCCATCGCTTTTAGGCTGGAGGCCATTGCATTCTGCAAAAGGCATTTGGGACCGACAGGAGCTGGCGACTCAAGGTGGTTGGGTGCATGCAGCACCCTTCCTGCTATCCACAGGGTTGCTCGACTGAAGACGTCAACCGATGCTGCAGACCAGGGTTTTTGGTGATTTTGTTGCTGCCCTACGTTTAGAACCCTCGAATTGATGACTCTTTGCATGAAGAAACCTATGCCTGATCGCGTCAGAAGTCATGAAACAACTGCGGACTCCCCGATGCAGTGGCAAGGAAAAGCTCTTGGCCTGACGTTGATGCTTTGGAGGGGGAAATCACCGAGGAGCAGGCTGTTCAAAGTGCAGAGATCAACATGCTAATTCATTACAGCATTCTCAAGAAAAAGGGCCAAGACAAAAAACGATTCTGCTGTTGCTTTGCTACTAGGAGCAAGGACGCTACTAGGGGCTCCTGGCCATACTACTGGGAGCAAGGACGCTACTAGGGGCTCCTGGCCATACTACTCCTGGCCGTACTACTAGGAGCAAGGACTAGGGGCTCCGGGGGTGTGGGTGTTCTGTTTCTTTTTCGGTCATCGACCCCGATCCAGCTTGTGAGGCCGAAGAGATCAAGGCTCTAGCTGAGAACGAGCCTGAAAAGGCAATGCTTGAGGGCATTGAGGCAGACTTAGAGGAGCAACAAATCAGCAACGTCTGCTCAACCAACCGATGTTGAGCAGCAAGCTGATCCAGAGGGCAAGCTGAAGTTTTCTTTCTTTCCTGTCCAGCTTTACCTTGAAAGTTTTCCTTTTGTATATCACCTAGCTGCACATCAGGAGCTGAAGCCCGAAGAAGCTGAGACTGGTCCAGCGTGGAGCATCAAAAACTACGGAGATGAGGGTGTTACTCGGACACAGGAAGCAGAGCCGCAGTTCAATGACCTGCGGAAGACAGTTCACAGAGTTTTCGTCATTTACCAGACAGGACACCCATACAACTGTAGGTTGCCACGTTCAATCATGCCTTGGGATTGGGATGGCCTAGTGTTCGCCAACCTGGGCCCACCTACTGCTTGATGCTGGTGATGCAGACCTATAAAACTGTAGGTTGCCAACCTACGGGTTCAATCATCCTGCCGTCTTAAGCTAAACCTACTCCAACCCGAACAACGTGATGCAGACTTGTAAACATGTAGGTTGCCAAAGAGCAATCATGAGGGCACAGAAAAATCCTCCCCGCCCAAGGAAACAAGACCGCCTTTTGTGTAAGATGCTTCTTGAAGCGACATGAAACAATTCACATGAACCAGACCTCCCTTGGGTAGGGCTACCCAAGAACAATAAGAGGGGCATTGGGGTCTCCACCGAGCTTGCTAGTTTAAAACTTAAGATCAAACAAGGCACTGGCCAGGAGCCCCTAGTAGCGTCCCTGTTCCTAGTAGTAAGGCCAGGAGCCCGTAGTTACTAGGGCCCTAGTGGCTGCTGACAAAATTTAAAATGCTGCAAGTTCGGTGGTCAGCAACTGACTCCTCTTTATGAATCAGTTTTTGGCGGATATGTGGGCCTCTTTTGGAGTGATCTTTTTTGCAACTTGTATCCTACTATATCCTACATGTCGACCTACATGTCCTCTAGCGAAGTATCGCAAGGGTGTGGCGCTGGGCACTTGCTCTGCAGCTACGACAGGAGTACTGTATCTCAATTCACGTTTTACGAGCAGACCTTCTTTGTGGATTTCAGTTCTCCGTATTTACTTCGGCGAAATGGATGTAGTAGGTCCTATGGGCACCAAGGTGCTGGACTCTGTCTCAACCAGCACGTGTCAGTGTAAGCCTCCACCTCCACACCTCTGAAGTAAGTACAAGACTCGGTGCACGTTCCTGGGTGCCTTGAATGATGCACTGGATGACGAGGCCTCAAAATCACGAAAGCTAGCCTTAGCTAGCTGAAGTTGCTCTTGCTTTAGCAAGTTAATTGATTAAATCAATCTTATGGACCCCCCCCCTCCGGAGGTTCAACTCCCCCCTGCGCGCGCTGAGCGGGTGGAAAACAATTATTGGCAGCTGCTGCTGTAGCTGCTGCTGCCTTGTGTGCTCGTTTGCTGCTGCTGCTGCTGCTGCTGGATTTTGCTCCTGCTGCTGCTGCTGGGTGGTCTGCCTTGGCTGCGTCTCCTGCTGCTGCTGCGGGGTGGGCTGCTGCTGCTGCCGCTGCCGTGGCTGCTACTCGGCTTGCTGCTGCTGCTGCTGGGGTTGCTGCTGATCCTGCTGGGTGGTCTGCTGCTGCTACCGCCGCCGCCGCTGCTGCTGCTGGATTTGCTCCTTCTGCTGGTGGGTGGTTTGCTGCCGCCTTGGCTGCACCTCCCCCCCGTTCATTCCCTCCGGCTGTGCACTGTGGGAGCACTTGGACTCCACGTGCGCTCTAAAGCAGTTTTGTCAACCTTTGAGTGCCGATAGTCCGAGTGCACAAGAGCCAAATGACGCTACCTGACTCCACATCGGAACTAGTGGTGTACGAGGGGTAAGGCTATGATGCACGAAATGCCGCCTGCACATTGCACCCAAAAATGTGTTAATTTTGACTCCTTATTCGCACCAATTTTGGCCCAGCATTTCCAACATTATGGCCACGTGCTCGCCTGCTGCTGGGTGGTCTGCTGCTGCTGCTGCTGGGTGGTCTGCTGCAGCTGCTTGGTGTTCTGCTGCAGCTGCTTGGTGTTCTGCTGCAGCTGCTGGGTGGTTGCTGCTGCTTGGTGGTTTGTTGCTGCTGCTGCTGCTGCTTCTTTTTTGAGGTGGCCATGTAGAATAGAATTCGGCGCGAAGTGGTGCAAAACGAGGGCCACATCTTGAACTCGTGTTGAACTGATTTGGAGGTATCTCATGCCTTCAAAATCTTGGTTTGCTGCTGCTGCTGCTGCTTGGTGGTCTGTTGTTGCTGCTGCTGCTGCTGCTGGGTGGTGGTTTGCTGCTGCTGGGTGGTGGTTTGCTGCTGCTGGTTGGTGGTCTGCTGCAGCTGCTGGGTGGTCTGCTGCTGCTGCTGCTGCTGCTGGGTGGTCTGCTGCCACTGCTGCTGGGTGGTCTGCTGCTGCTGGGTGGTCTGCTGCTGCTGCTGGGTGGTCTGCTGCTGCTGCTGCTGCTGCTGCTGGTGCTGCTGCTGGTGCTGCGCTGGGTGGTCTGCTGCTGCTGCTGCTGCTCCTGTTGCTGCTTCTGCTGCTGCTGCTGCTCCTTTGTGGCTTGCTGCAGCTGCTTGGTGGTAGACTGCGGATGCTTGGTGGTTTGCTGCAGCTGCTTGGTGGTTTGCAGCTGCTGCAGCTGCTTGTGGTCCGTTGCTTGGTTGTCTGCGCAGCCACACCCTAGCATGCGCACGCCTCCCCGCCCGGCTAGCTTTGTTCACCCCCTCTGGCCTCAAGTCACAAAAATACTTCCGGGGACAAGAGGCCAAGGAAGGTCGTGGAAATCACCGCCACAGATCATTTTGTGAGACTGGGGGCAGGGTGCAAAGCACTCGGTGTGCAGTACACTGTGAAATCGATCGCAGTGCTGAGGTCTATTCATCTGGAGACGGCACTGCGACGCTGCGTGTGACAGCTCTCCGATCCATGATTTGGCCAGGCGATGAAATAGCCAGTGACACAGACACATCTGACTTCCAGTGACCCCCTTCGGTGCGTTCGCCGTTTGTTCCGTTGCCGTGCTGCTTGGCTGCTTGGAAACGACCGCATGGCGAGGTGCTGTGACTGCGGTGAAAGGAACGCGGTTCGCAAATCTCTACGCACCATGGTTGCAGACACGAAGAGCATTGAAGAGTCGTGTAAAAGAGAACATTGAAGACAGTTTCCCTAAATATCTAGGAACCAAACAGCGGGAGCTTCCTTGAAGAAACGTGAGCTATCCTGCGTCCATACTAGTAGCTACTTACAGTAAGCTACTAGCTGCCTCTTCTACTAGCTACCTAGCTACTACCTCCTTCCTCTACGGTCTACCCCCCCAAAAAAAACCATATTTAATAGTTTCTTTCTTTGATTCTTTCTTTTATTATTTTTGCATTGGTCAGGTGGGCTACGGCATGAAATGCGGCTCCCTGGTGGGACCCGAGAAGGTTGGGGACGATGGGTTGGAGTAGGCTTCCGTTTGCTTCCACCGGTTTGCAATGACTAGTAGCACCAGTAACAAGTGCATCGCTACTAGTAACATACTAGTAACAAGAAGCTACTAGTAGGGATGCGCTTGTTACTGCTTGTTGGACGGTTTTGAGGAGTCGGGGCTCCCGCTTCGTGGCACGATGCCACTGATGCCATTGGCGTGACTTGGCAGCTTTTTCAGGGTCTGAAATTCTAATTGTGATGGTTTGGGGGGGGGGTGGGGCACATTGTCTTAGATGCTAGTAGGTTGGAGGCTCTTCCCTCAGGCCTGAGGACATCATGGATGAGCCGGTCGACCTGGAGGAGCACGAAGAACCAAATCCCATCCAGGATGAGGCAGAAAGTGACAAGGCCCATTTGTGCAAGCGAGCTTCTTTTGAGTTTCTCTTTTGCTTTCTGAAAAACGACGGATGCAATGGGATGCTGTGACAGTCCTTTCTCGGGGAGTATTGAAGTTCGTTGAAGTTGCAAACAAGCCTAGAGAATGCTCACGTTGCAAACAAACCTCCTAAAGCCTTAAGCTGGTTTCTTCATGGCCTTGCCGGCCTTGCCCTTTTCAGGGTGAGCTGGAAGAGGATCCAGACCAATAAAAGCCACCAAGGCCCGGGGGCGGCTAGGCGGCGGTTGAACGGTTTTTTTTCGCACCCGACACGAAACACCGCTGCTTGGCCGCTTGGCCCAGGTGTTTCACCCATGCGATGAGAGGGAAGTGAGAGAACCGAAGTGAAGTGGCGAGACCATCGCAGCCGGGAGAAGCGAAGAGATCAACAGGTCGACCTGTGCCACAGGTCTTCGAGTCGTTGCCTTTCGCCACGCATCACCTCCTCACCTTCCTTGCATGAGTTTTTCTTTCAATCTACCAGGGTCTACCATCAGGGTCTACCATTTTACAGTCAAAAGGCAACTTTTTAGCTTGCGTTGATTCCTTCAGGGATCGAATTAAGTTGAACTTGTGTTTTCACCCAATGAGACGGCACAAATTTTGCGCCTCACTGAGAAAAGGGCACGAAAAGCGCACGACAAGACGACTTGCCACGCAGAAGACTTCCAAAAACATCCAAAGGCATGCCAGCTTGCATTTCTGCTTTCGTCTCGGACCAGGCCCTTGTGGCAGATTTGGGCAGCAACTTCCTGGTTGCCTCGGGACAACTTCAGCCAGTGTGCCTTCAAGCTACCAGGCCAGAGTTGTTTTTTCTGTTTAAATAGCCCCCCCCCTAGTAGCGATGGCCTCCAACCTAGTAGCAATTCGTTCGTTTTGGATCGTGTTGGTTATAGCATGTTATAGCATTTTGGGGGGTGTTCTTATGTTTCTTTGTATCCCGTTCGTTGAGCTGGCAGGTGCCGCCATTTCTATGCCATCTATGCATGCGAAGGTTCGGAATGAGTCTGCCAGCGAGGGCCTGGTGAATGTCACCATGTCTCCAGACGCCGCAGGTCAGCTGTTCTTACACGGCCTGGCAGCAGAGACATGGCAATCTTCTGCATTGTGAGGGTGGGGTTCGGTCAGGGGACTTTCGCTGCGAATTGGGTATCGCATGGGAAAAGTGCAAAGGAAAGGGAGCCCACAGGTGCAACCGGAAAGTGCAAAGGGAGCCAACAGGTGGCGACTTAGAACGATAGCAAGCGCAGCCAAGCTTCGCTTCGCAAGGATTCGCCGTAACAAGGTTCGCTACTAGTAACAAGTGCATCGCTTCTAGTAACATGTACTACATTTGCCAGACTCTTTGGCTCAAACGTGGCCTCAAGTGAGAAGAGATCCTGTCTGGCCCTCGATGCGGGGAGAGAGATCCTGCGACTTCTCAATTTGGGCTGTGTTTTTCTGATCTAGCTTCTTGTTACTAGTTGGGCCAGGAGCCCCTAGTAGCATCCTTGCTCCTAGTAGCGATGCCCTTTGCTCCTAATAGCTTTCCCCTTTACTGAACAACAGTGTGGGTAAAGAAGCTCAGTTCTCATTCTGCAGGAACCTGATGGCAAGCCCAGTGCAGCCCTGAATTGCCAAGCTGATGGAAGAACAGCTAGTTGTTTGAGGAATCCATCGTGTGAGTGGTGTTACCATGGAGAACGCTACTTTGATGGTGGCCCTGTTGCTAACCATGGGTGAGCAAGTTAGTATAGGATCGATGCTTGCGCCATGGTTGGACAACAAGCTTGTAGAAACAAGTGCCACGCTACTAGTAACAAGTGCCTTACTAGTAGTAACAAGAAGCTATTAGGAACAA